TAAAAAAAAAAAAAAAAAAAAAAAAAAAAATATATATATATATATATTCTATATTGTACATGACTGTGTGTATGTACAAACAATTATATAATTATACACATAAAAGATTTGCAAATATTCGGTAAAAAAGGCTGCTCCCAACAGATTAATGAAAATGAAAATGAAATCTTAGAATATCGAACGAAAGAAGCTATTTGCAGGTACCAAAATATCAGAACACCTACTGTATGGAATCACAGAATCCTTTCAAAGTTGACGAAGTGGACAAAATCGTGCAATCAGTGATGAATAGTCGTTTAGATGAGCTCACTTATGATGACGCGGAGAGTGTGAAATTGTGTGGTGAAATCGCGTCGGAGATACGTCGACGTGTGAAGAAGCTCAACTTCAACAGGTGCGCTGAAAATTTAAATCTCAAATGCACAAGGTGTTCTAGTTAGATTGCGATTTCTTTTGAGGGAAACTTTTGAGGAAAAGGATACCGACTTTCCTAATTTTCAGTATTGTTTGCAACTAAACGAGTTACAAAAAATTTTACTTTAACGTAAACATGTAAACTCTAATACAATAAAAAAGCTAAGCATCAGTAACAATGATAGATATGAACTCTACAAAGTGTATCTTCGAAGAGAGAGAGACCGCTTTTTTCCAATTCCCCAACACTATAATTGAAAGAACATTCTTAAAAATATACTTAGGAGATACAGAGAGGCATTCATCACGCTTGATGGGTAATTTATCGTTCCAGACACAAAATTATCGTCGTCGTTACGATTATTGAGAAGGCCAGTCAGTCAGTGGAAACGACCATCGGATATTTGTGGGACAGCGAGAAGGATAACTATTCCATTTTCTCCATCGAGGGTCGGACCTTTTATGCTCATTGCTGCGTGTTCGGTCTTTATTACGAGTAACCTGCGATATTTCGGAATTATTATAGAAAATTAAGATGCGCGTTATGTCACGAATATTAATCGATTAATTATCACTTTAAAGATATTATTAGCTATTATAACTTACGTTAAAGAGCCGAATTTTCTTCGAATAACAGTTTACTCATGACACACATGGCGTGAAGTATAATTATGCGAGATAATGTTCGAGATAATTTATGAAAAGAAAAAAAAACATTTGATATTCATGTGTAGAACACAGAAATAGTTGTCGTGTATCAACGAGCTGAGGAAAAACCTCGTTCGCGATATCTCTCCGCCAGGCGAGCTGGACGATCAGACGAACATTCTACTCGTAAAGAAATATATTTGAATCGAATTTACAAATACAAGAGTGTCCATCGTCGAACATGGACTTTTCTAGAATATATAAGCAGATCTTCCGCTGCTTTGTTTTGGTGTATCTGGAGAGAGACACGATGACACAAGAGAACGAATCCTGTTACGCTGATAATAGAAATCCTTACATCTATACTGGCACTAAAACAGCGCATCAGTATATTCATAACAACATCGTAGAACGTATTACTTTGCCAAGTGAGTATCTAAAATATATAAAATTAAAGAAAAATTTTCTTGTATATAAATTTAAAAATCGCGAGGTGACAAAATAAACTTAAGTTTGTTTAAAGAATCAAATAAACTTACGTTTGTTTAAAGAATCAAGATTTAAATCAAAGTTTTATAAAGATAATAAAAGAAATTAAAGAATCGTCAAGCACACATTAAGATAATCGCAAAGCTCTTTCGTTTGTTTCTTTACGATACAAAGACTATTTTTCTGTTTCAGATTGTAAACCGATATATATATGGGAGTTCTGTAGGCACGGCACTCGATATCCACACCGAAACAGAATATTAAAAATGTTAAATTTGACACACATGCAAAATCGTATCATAGAAAATCACAAGATCCACAAACGTAAGTAAATTGATACTAGTCTGGGTGTTTAAGAATATTTATATATCGTGAAAATAGAACAGCGATGTAAAGCTGTGAAAAAAGCGAGAAATATTTATTTTATGAACTATTGTTTAAGGCCCGATAAAAATGTGGCAATAAATCGAACGGTTTAAACCCCACACAGCAAGAATATCTCAAATACATCATAGGAATATCTTGAAGATATCGCATATCCCAAATATATCTTTAGGATATCCCTATGATATATTTTGGACATCTCTGCTATGTGGGAACTGATCAAATAAAATTCGATTTTTTTCTTCGATTCATAGAAGGATATTTGTGTGGTCAGGACTTACAAAACCTAAAGAACTGGTGACTTGATGATGATCTCATTGTTTTATACCACAAATTACTGACGTCGCAAGGCAAGAGATTTGTTAACACTCAGTAATTCAGAATAAGATTTCCGGAGCTCTTCGACGCGAATAAACCTAAAAATTATGAGGTGATTAGTTAAAGATGCAACAAAGGAAGTTGAATACAAATTATCGATTGATTAATTATCATTTTAAAGATATTATTAGCTTGAGAAAAATTTACTTTAAAGAATCTCTTTTATTCACCAAACAGAAATATTTACTCCGAAATATAATTTCCAAAAAGTTAAAAGAGAAAAGTTAATGTAACTCATAGACGATTGTTTTGCGGCTATAAAACAGTTAATTTATACTAAATAATATGCATATTTCACTATAATAATAATTTACGTTTATATAAATACTGACTATTGAAGAGGATTCATATTAACCCTTACAATATAATGTGAAAACGGGCAACATCTTGATACAATTATGGGTCTTTGAAGTCCGACGATTACTTCAACTATTTACAATGATTTAAAAAATCTGCAAAAATTCATGAATATTCTTTCAAGTTTATAGAACAAACATTCCCCCACTACTAAGTTTTATTAGGGGAGATTAGAAGTGAGGGGCTCTTCGACACTTTGAGGAACTTCCAAGAAAAAAATCCGTTGGGCTTGAAAGACCCATGATTGTATTATAAATAAAACTGGTAAAAACTAAAAAAAAAAAACTGATAAAAAACTGAAGAATTATAGGTACATTTGCATGTACAATCTCCTTGTTATTCCTTATACACGACTATTTAATAACGAAGTTACATCTTGAATATAAACAAGCAATTATCAATCAATAAAAGATATTTCATAATTATTAAAAATTATTAATTATCAAAAGATTATGAATTAATTCGTAAGATCGACTTTTACCTTTCCTTATTATTTTATTTCTTAGCTTATAATCTTTCCCTTCTTGTTTTTAATTTTATTATTGTTTGTTATTTTAGGTAGAAATATTTCGTTTTCTTATCAATACGAGAATCGTGCGGAAAAGAAATTTTTTAATGACCGATCAAACTGATCTTTGTATGTTTTTCAGTTTAAATCAACGAACACTCAACGTACCGTCGTCCGCATGAATTCCTTCATATCAGGAGCATTCGACAATGACTTCGTCGCAATCATGCAGATAGAAGAGTTGATGACTAAGAGTGTTATGTTGGAGGTAACAATTTCCCAGTTTTGTATTTCGATCTCTCGACTATGGATTTATCTTTTTTCATTTCTCTGAAAATGTTTCATGTTATTAATATCATAAATAATAATATCGAAATAATATCGAAATAATATTCAGACATACAGAACTTGTCGACCACGGTTAGACGAAATAAACAGTACAAGAGCTAACGAACACGTACAGGAGTTTATCGATGGCCCGGAAGTGGCGAAATTCATTACCGACGTGAGTAGGCGGTTAGGTTTCGCGAACAACATCGATAAATGTAAGTGATTCGTTGCAGTGACAAAACACTAGGCGTTTAATTAATTCTTAAATGTTTAATGATTGTAATTATGAATCATTAATTATAATACATTACGATAGTGGACGATTCTAGCTGACATTTTCGACTTGTACGACATGTGTCGCTTCGAAAAAAATTGGTATCCAGACAGGTTGTCGCTCTGATGCGCCGCATTTACAGACGATGAGATGCGCGTCTTTGAGAACGAGGATCTCTTTTACTACTATAACGCCGGCCACGGACTGAAAATCAATATACAATTTGGATGTCGCACTATGCTAGACATGTTCGATCGTTTCGCGTGAGTCAATGCACCTTCGTGATTCGTGAGAGCTAGATTTCGTGTCATGAGCTTTTCCTGTTCTTTTCTAGTATTCTGTATTCAATCTTGTAGGAAATTGGAGCACGCGAAAGACACCGACGAACCAAAGGGCTCGTTCTACTTTTCGCATTCGATAGAGGCGATGCTGTTCTTTACCTCGATGAATATCGGCAAGGACACCTAAAAATGGACAGGATACCTAAAAATTACAAGGATATGGCTAACAGGAATTACTAATTGGAGAACGTCCTTGCTGTCACCGTTTGCCACGAACTTCATGGCTATCTTCTACAGATATAGCTGAATACGTACATGCGACTACTCTTTTATCATCCCTGAACGAACGATCGTGGAAACATCTCGTTTCAGATGCGAATCTGAAGACTCCCCCTTCAAAGTTACCTTCTACTTGGCCGAGCATCCTGTGACTCTAGAAGACTGCGAAAACGGAGTATGTGATAGGGCGAAGTTGAAGGAAACGCTGAGCCCTGTTGTAAAAAATTGCGATATAAAGCATTGTCGACCAGAATCAAATTGAGATATCTAACAGTTTTATAAAATCGTGATGTAGCTAGGAAAAAATGTAAAAATGAACAACAAAAACTGTGATTGCGCGGACATTAATCAATGTTGAAATAATGTAGATTTATTGTTCATAGCTATTATATTATCTGTTATGTTTCTTGCCGTCAAGGGAGTAATAAAAATTTAGTTAGAATTATTAACGGAAAAGAGAGTAGAACGTTTGTCACACATAAAACTTACAGGTATTCCGACCTTGGAACACTGGAGTGATTTGAACCCGAAACCGCGAAAAATTTACAGACTTAGATTCTCAGATAATTACAAAATAACTTCAAATTTATAATTTGCAATCTCCTGGAAGTTTTTTACATTATAACAGGCTTGAAAAATTATATTTATTACTCCTGTGTTGTAAAAATGATCTCTATCGTCAAATTTAAACCAATTTCTTGAGTTAAATAATATTTAGTTATTTTTAACTATCATGTGTGTCAAAATTTATTATTTTAACACAAAACATGTGTTTAAAAAAACAACCACATCTAATCTCAGCCCATTTAAAACAATATTAAGTCATTTTTTACTAAAACAAAGGTTACATTAACGTGCACATAATAAAAAATAAACTAAATTTTAGTGAAATTTAATACATTTCTTAATTTAAATTATTTAACTCCGTTACATTAGTTAAATTAACGACATATTTAGTAGGAGCAGCGGCGACTTATAGGAATGGTTAAAAATAACTCAAATTGAGTATAATTTAACACTACGGATTTAACAGTGTAGGAGAGTGAGGGTTGATCGCGCCTCGACGTCACGGTGGTTGGGCGGGGAGATGTATTTTCTTATTTTACAAGCGCATAATTGACTCGTCCCAGTGAGCGAATAAGTATGGATAACGTATATATACTGTTAAATATTGGAGGGTCAAATTTAAACCAATTTCTTGAGTTAAATAATATTTAGTTATTTTTAACTATCATGTGTGTCAAAATTTATTATTTTAACACAAAACATGTGTTTAAAAAAACAACCACATCTAATCTCAGCCCATTTAAAACAATATTAAGTCATTTTTTACTAAAACAAAGGTTACATTAACGTGCACATAATAAAAAATAAACTAAATTTTAGTGAAATTTAATACATTTCTTAATTTAAATTATTTAACTCCGTTACATTAGTTAAATTAACGACATATTTAGTAGGAGCAGCGGCGACTTATAGGAATGGTTAAAAATAACTCAAATTGAGTATAATTTAACACTACGGATTTAACAGTGTAGGAGAGTGAGGGTTGATCGCGCCTCGACGTCACGGTGGTTGGGCGGGGAGATGTATTTTCTTATTTTACAAGCGCATAATTGACTCGTCCCAGTGAGCGAATAAGTATGGATAACGTATATATACTGTTAAATATTGCAGGGTCAAATTTAAACCAATTTCTTGAGTTAAATAATATTTAGTTATTTTTAACTATCATGTGTGTCAAAATTTATTATTTTAACACAAAACATGTGTTTAAAAAAACAACCACATCTAATCTCAGCCCATTTAAAACAATATTAAGTCATTTTTTACTAAAACAAAGGTTACATTAACGTGCACATAATAAAAAATAAACTAAATTTTAGTGAAATTTAATACATTTCTTAATTTAAATTATTTAACTCCGTTACATTAGTTAAATTAACGACATATTTAGTAGGAGCAGCGGCGACTTATAGGAATGGTTAAAAATAACTCAAATTGAGTATAATTTAACACTACGGATTTAACAGTGTAGGAGAGTGAGGGTTGATCGCGCCTTGACGTTACGGTGGTTAGGCGGGGAGGTGTATTTTCTTACTTACAGGCGCATAATTGACTCGTTTCAGTGTTTCAGGGTTCAAATTAGGACAGAACGCCGACGCGCCCACAGTTAACCAGGTCGAAGAGGTCGCGGTATGTTAGGGTTAAAACGTTAGATACGCGCTAGGTACTGGTTGCTAGAAGCAACGAAGCTCGACGACCTCGCGACGGTGTGGCGACAGTGCCGCACGAACTGCCGTGGCGAACGGTGCTCGCAATCGCGCCTAAGTCACCCACGTACCTGTTTACATCGCGAGTTATTCATTGACACGTACGAATACGTACTTGAGCCTCCTTCTCGGTTTTCCTTTCTACGCCGAGCGGCAAGCTCGATCAGCCGCACCTTTCGAGCTTTCGAGTGGCGTTTTGGATCCTCGGGTACCTCCTCAGTAACGAGCGTCTCTGGACCATTGTACGTATATATAGAATATGCCGAATTTGTACTCCCAGTGGCTTGGTTACTGTGAGTCCGACTTGCTCCTGTAGAATACCCGCGGATAAATTTCAATTAGAAAGTCGCAGAGTAATATTGAGTAGATTAGAACTATCGGTGTATCTCTTGGAATCTTAAACTTCCAGATCCATACATGTCCTTTAACGTCGCATATAACTGCGCTATCTTGAATAGCACTTGCATTTTTATTCCTAGATCATCCTTGAGTTCTCTTCGGATTCAAAACATTAGTAATTTTTGATTACTGGATCCTTATAGATTTAAATTTTAGATTCTTTGTGAATCCTTGTAGGTATAAATTATTAGATGTTAGATATTGTAAAAATTGTACAGATACACTCTCAGGTATTCTAATCCTGAATTTTTCGATTTCTCGAATTTCTCGATGCAAAAAAATGCTTAAAATTTGAGAATAAGTAGATCCTCGCGTTCTCTCCTCAAATATTCGAAAACCTAATATTCCTAAATCGCTGGATGACGTACGATGAAATATTGCCGGAAACGACCGATTCGCGGCCTTAAAGTTAACATGAAATTAACATATCGCGCACTGGTACGCTGACGCGTCACGAAATGACGATTTAATTCGCGCTTCGTATCAAATCGCCACGTTGGTCTTATGTGTCGCGTGATCGCGAACTCTGTAATCTCGCGAATTCCCGCGATTCGGCGGCGAGAAGTGCGCATATAGCGTTCGCTCTCGCGAACGCTGTCGATCGCTGTCACCCGCCGACGATGAATCGAGCGGACGAGTCGCGCAGATTTCACTGAAAAAACGAGCAAACTCGCGCGAATAATTACAGGTACGCGCTTGCTCCTGCTAAGAACCATCGAGCGTGACCAACGTCGTCGTCCTACTTTCAGGAACAATTGTCACGAACGCGCGCGCAGTCTATCACGCCGTCATTTATTACCACGCGCGATCAGAAGAAAATCCTTACCAAAAAACCCGTTTATAGTGTGAAATAATGTACATCGTAAAATTGTGATAGTTAATTTTCGCCGAAACTGGGCTTGGCTTACGAGAAAAATCGATCTCTCACATTAGAAAATTAATAACTTCTACCGTGTCTATCTTGGATAACTTCCAATTATCTTGTCCACGCAACATACATCGACAACAGCTGTCAGATCAGCACGGATCAAACAAATTCTATACATTTTGTTTGAGACATATTAGAAAATAATTGATGAAATGATATCACTTACTCTTTCCAACTTTCAACATTGGCTTTTTCGAAAACGAGGCTTCAAAAATTAATCTACATTTTCGACATTTTTCACACACATAATCTCCCCTTCTGATTATACAAGTAACGGACGGTCCTGCGTATTGCACTGTTTTCAAAGTAGCGTGTAAAGCAACCGGCGTGTAATGGATTTCACATTGAAATGAGATTGCAACCAAGCTGGACGACAGCACTTGGTACTCGCCGACACGAGAAATTAAGTATAAGTAGGCCAAGTAGAGAGTTGTTAGAGCAAAAGAAGCCTCCGCTAATCACCGAAGTCGCCGAAGTCAATCGCAATATTGTGGACTTACGTCTTAGCTATTTCTATATACTGTCTTACAGATACGATACTCGATTACAAAGTACCTTGAATGTCATGAGGATAGGAAATCCTCGACGCGGCACAAAAACCAGTTTTTGTTGCGCAATGTGAGCGCTAACATAATTTCACATCTCCTCTCTTTCACGATATTATCCTTGGCCTTCGCATTTATTTCCAACACAATATATTTTTATAGAAGTGAATCCCAACGAATCTCATTTCCTTATAGACTTCAACGAGAGCTACGAGACACTCGGATTTCCCGATTCTTTCATTTTTCGAATCTCTTTTTCTCTCTCTTTCTCTCTCGAGACAGATCTCGAGAGACAGATCTCGAGACAGATCTCTCGAGATCTCTCATATCCTTGAGACGTCAGAACCAAATGTTCTGACGCGAAAGCGATGTTTAGGATGATATAAGGCAGAAAAGTAATCAAAGTACAAGTGTTGGCGGCTAAATATGTCACGGTAACTCGCGAAAGCCGTCACCCATCATCTTCTTCTCGTTAATTTAGCGCAGTTAGCGCTTCGCCGGTGTCTTGCGCTTCGTGATGACTTAGTGCGCACAAGAATACGCGCGAACACTTCCGGTTACGCAATCGCTGCTACGTTACGCTAGCACGGTAATAAGTTACATTCCGCGATGTCGTCAGTCGCGCCGGCAAAATGTAGGTTTACGGCGGTCCGCGGAAAGCGAAAGCACACTTTTCTGAGAAGCTTCCCCGATGACCCATAAGCTATTTCGTTTAGATCGCCCAGAAGATTAGCTCTTTAAATTGGTACCCAACGTCCCGTGTGTGCCGCAAGAAGAAAGAAAAGTCGGCTGATGTAGTAACGCGAGCCATTCTTTCATATAATAATTAAAATTGACAGTAACATTTAACGCTAGAAGATACACAGACGTCGTAACAAAATATCGTAAGCACTAGACAAATCGGGACGTGATTCATACTCACACCCGCGTGAGCATTGAAGTTGCGAAAATACCAGCTCAGCTGGTGCTCAAGGATTGAAGGATTGCATGAAATCGCAGGTCGACAACCTCCACACGATGTCCGCACCGTTGCTGCTGTTGTTGGTCACGTCGCTCTTGGCCTCCTCAAACGTCCACGTGCTCGCACGCAACGTAGACTATTGTTTCGCCGATGAAGACGAGCCGTACCTTCATATGGCCACTAAAACGGCCTACCACTTCGTCCATGGTGACAGAACTCAGTTCAAGACAGTGCCGAGTAAGAAATCGCTATTGACTGGCCGAATAGATAAATTAATTGGATAAATAATAAAAAATATGTATCATGTATTAATCTACTATTAATATATATGTATTAATAGTAGAGTTAATATCTCTTTATTTCATCGACTATCATAATTGTTATCATTACCATCGCTTGTGCGTCCATCAGACTGTCGGCCAGTGCAAATGTGGATGTTAGCGGCGCACGGCACTCGTTGCCCGACCCTCCACGAGATCGACGAGATTAACGCTCTGACCGATCTTAGGGATCAGATAATACACAATCACGAAACGCGCCGCGGTAAGTCCTTCTGAGCAGGTTTTCTCGCGTGTTTCTCATATCGACTTTCCTCGGAATGCTAATCGCTCGCTAATACGCGTTACGCAGAGGGTCGTATGTGCAACCGAGACTTGGACAACCTAAAGAAATGGCAACCGGATGAGTATCTGAAGTCGCATCGGGCGGAGGTGCTGACGCCGCAAGGGGTCGAGGATATGAGGTTGTTGGCGAGCAGATTGCAGAGCAACTTCCCGGAGCTACTGCACCTCACCATCAGCAACATATCGTCCGCCAATTACAAGGTGTCTTTTTGCAATTGCAATTTCTCAATTGAGAACGTAGCGCGATATTAACGCGACCAATTCGATCGAATAATTCGCCAGTCAATAAGTAAGATCGAGTAAATTACGAACCAATCGTAGCGATGGGACGCGACGCGATTGATTTTCAGTTCCGGGCCACCGAGGCACAGCGCAGCATGGAATCCTTCATAGAGCAACTTTTTGGAAGTAGGCACGCTATAGACCCCGAAGAGAGTTCCTTGAACGATACTCTACTGAACGTAAGTGATTCAGCTACATGCTTCTTCATTGTTGAAATATCTACAAAAAGGAATTATATTAGAGATTATACATTTAGAGATCAAAGAAAGACAAGATATGAAACGTAACTCAAACTTCAAAAAGCGAAATAGTCGGAAGAATTACAATCCCGAAATAGAGAATGCTCTCCGAATATTTTCATAGTGTATTTAAATGTACGAATTTTAATCGATCTGGAGTCGATTGATGACGTCCTGAGCCTCTATTAGCCAATCATAGGGTTTGGTAGAGGCAAGGCAGAACACTTGAACACTCTATTAATCGACCCTGAATCGATAAAATCAATCGTGCATTTAAAAATACTATTAGATTAATTTTACAGGCATACAAAACATGCGGCGTGTGGGAAAACGACGGGCACGAGCAACCGTACGAGAATACGGAGCACAACTTGTTCACCGCTGGACCACTATTTCAGGACCTCGTAAATAACGTTAGTGGGCGACTAGGATTCCTCTATAATATCACCGTTGGTTCGTACACCGAAATGACATTGTTTGATCGCGATTATTTTACTTGTAATTATTCGAGTTGTCAATGAGAGCTATTTATATATCTGCAGAAAAAATTGATGCCATGTACGACGCATGTCGATATGAGAAGGCTTGGACAGTCATCAAATTGTCCCCTTGGTGCGCTGTCTTCTCCAAGGAAGAACTTCGAATCCTGGAGTACAGAGAGGACCTCGATTACTACTATAAAGCAGGCTACGGGCGTGAAATCAATGCTCGACTGGGATGTCCCTTGTTGCACGATATGATGCAACATTTTTGGTACTTTAATCATCAATTTTTGTCTCAGCTACCTCAATCTAGAAAATTGCAATATTTGCCTTAAATTCTTGACTTATGATAGTTAATTATGCAAAATACTTTATAGGATGTTTTTAAATCTTTATTTGTTTTCAAAATTTTCTTTCAAATGGTCCACATACATTGATTCTTTTTCTCTTCGGGCTTTCGAATGTATTAATAGTATATATTACTATTAACGCATATATTTTAATTAGGAAAACAGCACGTAACGAAATGTCGGACGAACCCCTGGGTATCTTCTACTTCAGTGATATTGTCAGTCTGCAAAATCTTTTGACCACAATTGGCATAAGAGAAGATCAGACACGATTGACAGCCTTCAACTATAAAGATATGGCCAACAGACAATGGCGAACCTCTTTAATGTCCTCCTTCGCCGCGAATCTTATTGCAGTATTCTACAAGTAAGTATATGTGCGTCTCTCTCTCTCTGTCTCTCCCCCCCTCTCTCTCTCTCTCTCTCTCTCTCTCTCTCTCTCTTTTTCTCTCTATGTCTCTCATTCTCTTTCCAAAATCATAGACTATGATTTGTTTCAGTTTCAACAACTTTGATTTTCAGTTGCTTTTATGATCAAATTGTTTATTTATTAGTCATTATCATATCAAATTTAAGTATTTTTAAGTATTTATAGTGATACAAGATCAGGAACTACAAGATTTTCTTTTATTGTTAAATACAAATGAATTCCTATAAACACCTCTGTTACTGTTTTTTAAAAATTATATGAAGATCTCTTTTTCTCTTATCTCTTATATTAAATAACTCTAATCTTTTATATTAAATAACTCTAATCTTTATGGGATATCTAATATTACAGATGTGACGATAGCAAAGATAACAATAAAGTAATGTTTTACTTGGCGGAAAAACCGATACATTATGAAGGTTGCTATGTAGGACTCTGCGATTGGGAATTTTTGAAGAGCAAATTTGGACAGCTGGCATCTAATTGCAAGCTGGATGTCTGTTGGAAAGCGAGTGGAGCACCTGCTAACTTCTTTTCTCTGAATTCCATAGCCATCTTACTTGGGTGCTTCATTCTAGTCCGCCTTGGCTATCAACTGTAAATAAGTTAGTCTTAATGTTTATTTCAACTACATTAAACGTTAAATTGTAAGATACTAAACACAATATTGTAGAACATTAAGACATTAAGTTATAAATGATTGTTCATTCTTGATTCTGTATAAATTATAATATTGCAGCTTTATATCAGCGTTAGGCAAAACATATTTACAAATGTAATTTCGAATATATATTCGCGAAAGTAACTATTATTAATTATAATTGTAATAATCGTATTCGATAATTAAATATTCACGTAAGTGACTAACTTGACATTAGTGAGTAAAGGTTACAAGTCTAATTGTTCAATTTTATTCGCGACTACATAATGATACGCTTTTTATTTATGGATAAATAATAAATATGAATGTTTCGATTTCTACGAATTTTTAAGTACAAATATCCTAAATATAGCAATGGGTGAACCTCAAAATAATTACGGCCTGTATATGATAACGAGTAATATTTCTATCGTATCGTAATAACTCGATTAGTAGTTAGTAATTAGCAAATTAATGAGTAACTCTTACATAACAAGAAATATAATTATTATAAAAATAAGGTCACTTTGTACGGAACTCACCACTTTCGCGGTTCTCTATATTTATTTGAAATATATCGAAAGTTATCGAAGTTGTGCAATCGTTGATGAGATATCGATTAATATCGATATACGAGATATCGATCGCTATTAGTACGACCTCTCGCGGAGATATTCTTGAGATGTTCGTAGAGGAGTCAGATAAATTACGAATTAAATTGCATAACGCTGAAGTAGATACCCAAATGGCTGTCGAGGAAATTGCATTTAGTAACAATTATCTGGCATCTAAAGCATTATTCTCTTTCGCTACCGCTGTAAAATTAAATATCTAATTATCATCACACGGGTCTTCTTCTTATATATGACCCGGAATTCCTATTCCATTAGCCATCTATCACACGGGTAAATAGTGTTTCGGAAGGGGTCTACCAACCTTCCCGTCAACCAATCAGGATAAAAAGAAGAAGACCTCTCGCGGAGAGCAATCTAACATCTTTATGACGTCAATCGGGATACGCACACGCTACGCGCGTTCATAAGCGCTAAAGTCGTGTCTGACTTTCCAATATGTCCACGTAGGATCGAATTCTCTTATCTCGCGGAAGAATATCGACATAATGATTTCGTAGCCACGAGGTAGATACTTTCGCTCTCATACATGTGACATTTCTCTCATATTGCTTCTGAATGTTTAATTTCCAGTGTTACCAGCACCCGTGAATGATGTGTCAAATGTTAAACTCAGTTTTGATTGTTAGCTGTCGCGCGTGTTAAATTCTGCATTCTGTCAGCAGAACAGGAAAATCAGCAAATTTTGAAAAGTGTAGAATTCTAGAATCACTGCTGTCATTTTGTTTAATGCTAAATTTCCTTTATATTTCAGAGTCCGTTTGACTGTTGAATGTGACCATGGCCAGTCCTCGGACGCGACGAGTGCTAGGTGAATTGAAGCCGAAGGATGAGAACAATGTAAGTTTCGCTGGAATAAAACAAAATATTATTAATATTATTATATTGTACGATAATGTATATATTTTCACAATACAGAAGAAAAAGATCAAATATTAAATATTAGTGTGAGTTTTTACATATTTATACCTGTATAATAACTAATTATAACTTATGAATTGTATTATAATATTGAGCTTTTGTCATTTCTCTTATATTTATTTTTAACAGATTTTTAAAAGATGCTTCACGCAATGTATACTAAAATATCCTATATATTAACATGATAAATATGTCAAATATTTCTAACTGTAATTAACAAATTCTAACTTAAAAATATAAGAAAATATATATATTATGGATGTTGTTGATAAATTAAAATTAGAAACATCTGCATAAACTATTTGCCTTAACTAACTTTGCAATTAAGAAAGTTTGATGTTATAATCTTATATATTCCTTAGAAATGTTTTGAATGCGGCAGTCATAACCCACAATGGGTATCTGTAACATATGGTATATGGATATGCCTGGAGTGTTCTGGCAAGCATCGTGGCTTGGGTGTGCACTTGTCTTTTGTTCGTTCTGTCTCCATGGACAAATGGAAAGATGTGGAACTAGAGAAGATGAAAGTAGGTGGCAACAAAAATGCTCGAGAATTCTTCGAGAAACAACCTGACTGGGATGAGTCCATGTCTATTTCTCAGCGTTATAATACAAAGGCAGCAGCATTATATAGGGATAAAGTGAGTAGAGACACACATTGATTGTAAGTCTGGAATGTCAAGCCTTGATCCAGAAGTAATATGAATAACTTTTTCATTTAGATTGTTACATTGGCACGAGGAGAATCTTGGAGTCCAAGCAGTTCAACAGCTAAAGATTTTCAGCCTTCCATGTATGTCGAAAGTAGGCAAGAACATTCATACCAAAGTGATGTATCCTCAACATCTTACCAGAATATGGACTCAAACAGTCTGAAGACACAAACGGAATCTTTCTTTGTAAAAAAACAGAATGAAAATGCCAATCGTCCAGAGTAAGTAATAGTTGATTTATGTATGTTTCTACATTCTATTCTTTGTATCTTATCAGTTTCAATTTATATAAACTGCAATTTGTTCATCTGTTATGTGTACTTTGTAAGTTATTAACGATATCGCATATATTTTTCAATAATTCATAAATAATTTTAAAAAATTATGAATAATTAAACAATTTAATACTATTTTCACAAATGTTTTTTTTTGTAGGAATCTACCACCCAGTCAAGGTGGTAAATATGGAGGATTTGGTTACCAAATGGATCCACCACCTAAGAGTTCATCCCAGGAGCTATTCGACAATGCAGTATCTTCATTAGCAACTGTACAATTCTTAATTTTTATTCAACTTCTACAGATTTGATGATTTAGCCGAACTATTAATGCAAGATAGCTAATTCTTGCAGGGCTGGTCAATATTTTCCTCCTCGGCATCGAGAATAGCGAGCAAGGCTACCGAGAATGCTATTAAAATCGGAGGACTCGCGACACAAAAAGCAAGTGATTTAAGGGCCAATATGACGCTTATGACTATATTAATCAGTTATCGTCATTTTTATAGTATAAAAATTCTGTTCTATAATTTCTTGCTATATAATTTCAGTTGTATCAATATATATTGCCTAGTAACGCATATATTTTTCTTTAAATTGTGTTTTTATTTTGTTTCTCTTGTTTTCTTTTAAAATACATCATTAGGTTCGTGATGGCACATTATTAGAGGAAGTTGGAGTCCAAGTCAATCATTTGGCTGCAAAGGTATAAGTTCATTTATTTCCAGAATTTTTTATGTTTCATTCGGCTTATGTTGAATTAATAAAGTATCACTGAATGAATATTAAGAAATTTAATAGTAGGAAATGTACATAGGTAGGAGATTTAGGAAGAAGAGGGTGGGGTGACATCGCTGGGACCAATTCAGCTGAACAAAATCAATATGATTCCACGGACCGGTATCAGTGTTCCAGTAATACATACCAGAATAGTGACTCGATACAATCCAATCGTTCCAATGAAAAATCATCTCTTGTGAGAAGTTCCAGTTCGAAGTAAGTTTGTCTTAAATATCTTGTATTTGCTGATAGCACTCTTCTGTTCTTAAAATATAAAGAATATGCACTAATAAAATTTTTATTTCAGAGGTAGTATGTCGTCCACTGGAGGTTCTTGCAATACCTCGAATCGCGATTGGGAGTGGGGCAGTGATATCAAGCAGACAAGCAAGGCCTCAAAGAAACCAACAAAAGAAAAGAAGGAGGAGTCGTTGATTAGTTTCGAAACAGACAATAAAACACAGAACTGGAATTCCAAACTGGAAGATGATGCCTGGGAAATATTAAACAATTAATGATGATACAATTAGCGCAAATTAAGAGATATTGATACGTGTTAATTTTGACAGATTAACACGTTGATTGCCGTGTTGATTTTATATTGATTGTATAAAGGCATAATCGATGATCATATTACCAAGGAGATGATAAAAAATGTAATTTGAAATGCGTGGATCTTTTACCTTGTTTCATTAGCTTCTTATTAGCTGTACAGCCAACTTTTAAGATGCAATTATACCTTATACGCAACTTAATAATTCATGATAGTATCATGGTATCAGTAACCAATGACCACGACATTCAACGTGTTAAAGAAAAAGACAAATGTTTTTATGTATAAGACAGGTTTCTTAAAGAGAAACTCATTTTTCTAATATTCAATAGAATAGACGACAATTTCGTTTTATAATTCATAACGTTATATTATATGAATTAAGTTATTAGTGGTTAAATTAAATTAAACGAAAGTAATCTACTTCTTCAGTCTTGAAATCATTGAGATAATTATTACACATGCAAAATCTAAAAGTATCACACTGAAGAAATGTAAAAAAAAATTATACATGACTCAATATATTAAAATAACTTTGAGATCTATCAACAATGTTATACATTGTATTCCTCCTCAGATTTTCCCTGAAAAAAAATATTAAAATATATTTCTGATCACAAGATTCTACTAGGATCAATAAGAGAAAATTTTAGCAGAAACTGACTTTTACCGTGATACACACGTCTGTGAAGTGCTCTCCTATATTTAAATATTTCACTACAATATGTTAAAAGCTCCTGTTGTTTATCCAGCCATGCCTCACTTAAAACTTCTGTAATTATAGTATGTAATACTTTTGCAGATTTCTGTGAAATAGGTGTAGGAACTTGATTCATTGTCAGCTTATAAAGAAAGTGATATATCTCTCTGCAAAAATATTCATCAATCAGTTTTCATCTTTGATGTTTAGCGTATAAAAGAAAATCACATATCTAATAATACAAAAGAATAATACAAAAGAAAATTCACAGATGTTAGGATCGTAGTATATTAATCCTAGATTGATAGTGATAATGTATAGTTAATCACAATAGAACAGTTGTGCCTGGCAATTGTGATATTAAAAATAAACTATTTATTTTAATTTATTTATTTGCTCACTAATTTTAATCTAGAATCAAATAGAATATACAGTATTATACATACCTAAAGTTGCATTCTGTATTATTCTCATGAGAAGGATGCTGTTCATACCATTCAATGAATAATAATGCCATAGGTATAGACTCAACATTCTTAAATACTTCACCATGCAGCCAATGAACTAACGAAGGTATATTTTGAAAAACATTATGCAATTTTTCAAGTTTTATTTTTATTGCTTCATTAACTGTTTCTGGAGGCATAAGAGGAAAAGATTCAAAGGATAAATTTGGGCACCCATATTTAAAAAGAGCCTTCAGTAACATAATCTGATCTTCCCTCTCTTTGAACAGCAATTTATGTGATTCAATCAAGATGGAAGTATCTTCATCTGTTTCTTTTGTTGTTTTGTTATCACTCATCCTTTAACAAAAATAGAACAAAAATATTGTAAAAGATGTATAGGGATTTATTTGGAGAGTAAAGTTCTGCTGTTGTCGAATATAAATATTTCACGAGTAATAATCGACTAACACAACATAATCAATTAACAAATTAACAAGTTTGCATTATTGTATAGTAAACATATGAATTGCTGAGGTTATGTACTTTCTCTCAAAAAATCACTAAAAAAGTCACTTTTGAGAAGTTTAATATAATTATAAGACTCGTTTTGATATGTCAATGCTTACGTAAATTATCTTATATCGGTGTTGCTTTGTCAAAACAGAACAATACTAGCCAATTTTCATCTCTTTACTACGAGCCCGCTAAAAGAGCCTTCACAAACAAATTGCCGTAGCCATAAGACTCGATCTACAATAGGTGGAGTAAGGAGTAGGAGTAGGAGTAAAGGCCATCACACACAAAATTACATAGCGCATATGCATAGCATAAGATAGTATGGACCAATGAGCATCGAATATTAAGTATCAATCATCAATATGGCGACTTAATATTCAATGCTCATTGGTCCATATGATCTTATGCTATGTATATGCGTCTATGTAATTTTGTGTGTGATGGCCCTAAGGGCCTGAGCACAGACTTTTGCATAACGCATAATGCATAACACATAAGGAAATCAATCAATCAGAGTCATTCATTTCTATCCTGAAGAGGGAAATAAAGGTCTCTGATTGGTTGATTCCCTTATGCGTTATGTGTTATGCAAAAGCCTGTGGTCCCAGTCTTAGGGCTATCGCACACAAATTGACATAACTGCATATGCATAGCATAAGATCGTATGGACCAATGAGCATCGAATATTAAGCATCGAACACCAATATGGTGACTTAATACTCGATGCTCATTGGTACATACGGTCTTATGCTATGCATATGCAGTTATGTCAATTTGTGTGCGATAGCCCTTAGAAATAAACAGTAATGACTCCTGCACACAGGACGCGGTAATGCTTGCCGCGCGGCAAAAGTTCGCGCGACAGCCAATCAATATGCTGCTTTCCATAATAATCTTCTAGCTCTTACGGAAAAACAACATATTGATTGGCTGTAGCGCGAACTTCTGCCGCGCGGCAAGCATTGCCGCGTCCTGTGTGCAGGAGCCATAAGCAAATTGACTAATTCCATTCCTATGTTTCAAAAATAATCGATTGTGAGGGAGCCATTACATGAAACGCGGAAACGTAGAAGACAAAATCTTACTAGATTTCCGCGTTCCGCGAATTGAATCATGTCTTCCCGTACGTTGAAAAAGTGGAAGGCCCAAAACTTTTTTCTATTGTCTTTTTATCCAAGGTATCAAGGTATGAATTCCAAAAAAATATCAGGTCCGAACGTGTTTGAACACGTCTTAATGTAACGGCGGTTGGGTTGAACAACTTATGATAACTTGTGACAACTTGTGACAATGGATTTTTCCGCGCTTGTTCCGCGACTTTATTTCTCCTTATATTATATAAAGCACAATTTGCGCGGAAAAGCGGAACGGTTTGATGACAAATAAACATCTGTATTTATGTTTTTTAATTGTATTAATTTAATTTACTGCAATTTTTATTAATATGTTTATTTTTTCCGCTTATCTATTGAATACAAGCATTTTAATTAATAAATACTGTTAAAAATTAATATTTTATAATTCCCCAAACCGCTTTTCCGCTCAAAATATGCCTCATGTAATATAAGGCAATCAAAACAGACGCGGAACGCGTAGCAGATCTAGACTGGTATTTATCTGCAGATATTCCGTAGCTAATGAAATGATCTATACAGTATTTGAAGATGAACTTAAGATAGTCTTAAATATAACATCTGACTATGAATTCCAGCCCTAATAAGATTTTATCTTCTGCGTTTCTGCATTTCCGCGCTTCAAGTAATGGCTTGGTTTACATCGTGTATTTGATACGTGTACTAAATAGTAACTTTCTATTAGATAATCTTAAAATCGACAATGCATATCAACGGCGTCGTTTCAATCAATATAATATGTTTTGTTGATAAGTATTATAGTTTAATATACCGTTATATATATATATCGTCGATATTAAGGTTATCTAATAGAAAGTTACTATTTAGTACGCGTATCAAGTGTACGATGTAAACGGGAGCGTCCCGATTGACCACAGTACGATTGGACACAACCAACCGATGAAAAGAATTATCTAGTGAATTATTAGGTCGAACCAATCATTACAATATGTGTCCAATCGTATCGTGGTCAATCGGATCCCACCCGATGTAAACCAAGCCAATGGCACTCTCATTGGTCTGTTTACTTTCTACTTTTATTTCTTACTCCTACTCCTCATTCTTACTCCATCTTTTGTAGATCGGGCCTAACATATCATGAAAATTGACCAATTATAATCGAATGTTAACAAAAATGGTGACTTTACGATTTGACGTCTAAACCTTTGACTATAGGTGTTTTTTCGTTTCGTGACCACGGTAACGTTTGGTTGATTAATTTGGTCCACTTAACGCTCGCAACGCCGCGAGCGTCATTCTATCTTTGACTAAACCCAACGACACACGGTGCTTGTTTTTGTGCTGGATTGCTTACTGGATGGAGATACTCTGTTTTGATTGGTGCATTTCCATCCATCTTCAAAACTGCATCAATCAGAACAGAGTATTTCCATCCAGCAAGCTAACCAGCACGAAAACAAACATCGTGTACCGCTGACTTTAGTTTGCACGGCAACTTAAAATCGGTTTAGTAACTACCGTAGTTAGTAAACTCTTGAATCCGATTGGAGTATATTTCTAAATCTAAAAGAATATACCAATCGGATGCGAAAGTTTACTAAATCGGTTTTAAGCTGCCGTGTAAATTTATGGCTCCTGCACATAGGACGCGGTAATGGCTCTTGCACACAAGACGCGGTAATGCTTGCCGCGCGGCGGAAGTCCGCGCGACAGCCAATCAATATGTTGTTTTTCCGTAAAGCGTCTTCTACAATGGCAGTAGTAGTAGTAAGAAATAAGCAGTAAAAGGGCGTCTACATTGGAAGTAAATAGCAAGAAGTAGGAAGTAAGAGTAAGAAATTGACCAATCACAGTCGAATGTGAGAAGAATAATCAACTATGATTAGTCAATTTCTTATTTTTACTTCCTACTTCTTACTGCTTACTTCCAATGTAGACGTCCCTTTAAAGCGTCTTCTATAATGGCAGTAGGAGTAGTAGTAAGAAATAAGCAGTAAGCAAATTGACCAATTCCATTCTCATGTTTCAAAAATAATCGATTGTGATTAGTCTATTTACTTACTGCTTATTTCTTACTACTACTCCTACTGCCATTGTAGAAGACGCTTAAGAGCTAGAAAGTTATTACGGAAAGCAGCATATTGATTGGCTGTCGCGCGAACTTCCACCACGCGACAAGCATTACCGCGCCCTGTGTGCAGGAGCTAATACAGTACTGGCAGTGAATTTCGGAACCCAGCTCGAGTTAAATTTTGGAACGCGGCCTATGGCGGTTTAAGATTCATGACACGAAGCGATATTTTTTGCGATTAATGTTTGTAATCTTCTATTATAAAACTGTCTAATTTCGACGAGTGAGTATCTGAATAATGCGAAAAGAATTAATAAATGTATTACTATTATAAAGATTATATATTACTGTTTAAAAATGCTGATAAATATCCATGTCATGAAATTCGATTAACTGCATATCTGTTCTAACCTAAGCACTTTCGTGTTTTCAATTTTTAAGCAGTAAAACATAATATTTGCAGCAATCTACACGAAGTCTTCATAAAAATTTAAACAGTATTATTACAGAAGTTTTTGTGAGATATAGAAATATTAAAGTACATAAGATATCTTCACACATATACAGAGTGGTTTTACATTTACATACACTGTATTTACCATGCAAAAAGTGATATCTCAAACCTTAGTAAAATAAAAAAAATATTCAGTTTTCTGTGAAGTGTGAAATATAAAGTTGCTTGCGCTTTCAATAAGGAAGTATTTGTAATAAGGTTTTATTTCTAGAAAGGAACGTAAACGAGTCAGCATGCCAGAACCTGTGAGTCATCAGGTGAATGCCGCTCGTAAGACGTTCCAGACATTGTATCAGATCTCCAAACTGCTAAACACGAATCTAGATCCAACCACCCTGAGCATGTGCATTAGACTGTGTGAGAACGGAGTGAATCCACATGCTCTCGCAGCTGTGGTAAAAGAACTTCAGCGAGAGGTAAAGGCAATGAACGATGCTCAATTAGAGTCTACCAGCAAGACCAATACTAATAAGTGAATATAAGAATATGATACTAGTTGTCCTTCCATGTTTTTTGTAAAATTATCTATTTTGTTATCGAATAAATGTTTTTGGATATAGATACTATAGAAACTACTTTATTTAGCCCATATGTTCTAGTATATGCACATGTAACATTGTGCTTCATAAAAACAATTATATCTCTAACAAATATTGAAAAAATATTGCTCAAAAAAATATCTATAAAAGTATACAAGTAGAAACGTTTGAAAAATGCTTACGCGGAAACATATCACGGAGCATATGTTACAGATCAACCCTGTTTTGTTTCGCTTTTGCACTTTGCTCTTTTATTAACTCATCAGCTGCAGCCTGAGAAAAAAATTTATTTCTTTTTGTTTCACATGCTATATGTAGTCTGAAAAATATAATAAATTAGTGCAATAGGAAAATCCTTACCTGCTGCTGAGGATCACTGTAATAAGTCTGTCCTTCAAGAGTGAGATGAGACAGTTCAGGTTGTTCTAGCAGATAGTTTTTAGCATCCACAGCCTGAGATCCTTCACGGAACATATATATTGATCGTCTAGTATCGATTAGATATCTGGACACAATTTGAATATAATAAATTTGTATATAAAATATTTTCATATATTGGACTAGTTTTCTCGCGTCTGGTATGATATGCAGTTACAATTCTATGACTTCATGAATCAAGTCACCAGTGATGATATTGGCTTGGTTTACATCGTGTACTTGATACACATACTAAATAGTAACTTTCTATTAGATAATCTTAATATCAGCAATGCATATTAATGGCAATGCATTCAATTAATACATCTTGTTGATGAGTATTATATTAGCTTAATATACCATTATTTATATATATCACCGATATTAAAATTATCTAATAGAAAGTTACTATTTAGTATATGTATTAAGTGCATGATGTAAACCAAGCCATTGTGATGTATGAAATACTATTATGCATTATTTATCTTACCTCTCTGCAATAATATGATTATTTTGCAAACTAGTCTGCCAAATACGCATCACAATATCAGCTTGCTCATCTGAAATATCTGGCTTCATATCTACAAACATCATAACACCTTTTCCCTTTTTGGTGGCTCTTAGTAAGTTGTCTACGTTTGTAGTATCTATCTATACAATAAATTATATACAAATTCAAAAGTTAATGAAAGAAATCTATATATATATATATATTTAAATAATATTAGCTTTTAATGCAAACAAAGAAATCTATTACCTTAGACAAGTCTATTTTTGGACTGGGTCGCAAATGCTCTGGTAATTCATCTGGTTCTAGAGGTTCATCATTTTCCTAAAATATTACATTGATACTTTAACATTTACCTTTTATTATGGAAAAAAAACAAAATTTATTTTATCAATCTATCTAGTCATAAATTTTATAACAGCTCAATTAAAAGATGCAAGAAAGGTCTTACTTCCCACTGATCCAATAGATTTTCTAAATCAGCTTCTGTCATATCTCGTATATCTTTGTCGCGCCATGATTTCTTTTTTGTATTTTGAGTCTCACTGTTCGTGAGTAAACAAAGTACAAAGAAGCTCAGAATAATTATTTTTGTTTCCATTTTATTCTAACGAAGGTCACGTATTTATTTTCAACAAATTATTATGATACGCTGCGTACATCCCCTAAGATACCTGAAAATTAAAAAATTGAAGAAAAATGTCAGCTTCTTCATTCTGATTCATTAGCAATTAGTAGAGATCAATCGATATTTTTTTTAAATTACAGCTCAATGTTTTGAGGTTACGCTGAGACTTCACCGGCGTCAACAATATTTCTTAAAGTATTTTACTATAAAAGACATATCATAAATAAAAATATATGAAAAAATCATGAGAAATCTAGAATTGATAATATAAAAAAAAGGAAAAAAAATAAAAATTATTACCATAAAATGTATTCTTGAAGGTGCCGTTACATGAAGCGCGGAAACGCGGAAACGCGGAACACAAAATCTTACTAGATCCGCTACGCGTTCCGCATCTGTTTTGATTGCCTTATATTACATGAGGCATATTTTGAGCGGAAAAGCGATATGGGGAATTATAAAATATTAATTTTTAACGGTATTTATTAATTAAAATGCTTGTATTCAACAGATAAGCTGAAAAGATAAACATATTAGTAAAAATTGCAGTAAATTAAGTTAATACAATTTAAAAAAATTAATACAGATGTTTATTTGTCACCAAATCGTTCAGCTTTTCCGCGCAAATTGTGCTCCATGTAATATAGGCTGTGTTCGAAAACACACACTGTGTGCACACTACTAGACGATAGCCGTTGGAGTGAACGAAATACAAGAGTGAGATAGAGAGAGAGAGAGAGAGAGAGAGAGAGAGAGGGAGAGGAAAAGAGAGAGAGAGGGAGAGAGAGGGAGAGAGAGGGAGAGGGGGAGAGAGAGAGAGAGAGAGAGAGAGAGAGAGAGAGAGAGAGAGAGAGAG